TCTTTTGTAACGAGGGTAATTCCATTAAAATGGTTAAGCTTTAATACAATTCAAAAAGTAGTAAAATTTCTCGTTAAAATTGACTTGTAAGAAATGACGTTTAAGTAAATACAAGTAAAGCTTTAACTTGACAGTATCAAATTCGATTAGGGTATTTGCATAGAAATGACTTGCTTTGAAAATGACTAGATTCATTCTTGTATTTACAAATTTACAAGTTAAGCTTTAATCGAATAACATAATGGTCGGTTAAAATAGTTATATGAATATGACTTACATACCTTGATAGGTACGTTCTTCATAATGAATTTCCTTACTCGTTTTCATTTTAAAATAAAGAGAGAGCAAAATATCACAGATTCAATGGTTTTGGTCATTATCAAAGGAGTTAGTGTCATTTCATAAGCATCAGTTTACAAAATTTATTGTGTACAATGGACCCACCTTATTTACGAAAGTTTAAAATTTATTGGATTAATCTATTGTGACTAAACAAAAATGACATAGAAATTAACAGATGTGTTTATGACAGTAGATGAGTAAATGAAAAAGCTAACTGTGTATTAAACTGTCCAATAATAAGACGTCATGTGGCATTGTGTTAAGAATTATATAAACTATTATATCATTGTAGTATGATTCAAAGTTATTTACACCTAAAAAGTGTGTATATGTGTGTGTAATGAAATTTATTCACACTTGTTGAGCCCCATACAGAATCCCTTTCCATATTAATTCATCAGCTGACATCCATTATCTTGAGACTTTTGTTTGAACTTCGAACCATGCGAGTGAGTTCAAATTTGACATCCAAATCTATTATATCTTCCTTTCACTTTTTATTTTGTTTCAAAAAGCTAATAATTGTAATGAATGACATTTCTTGACGTTAGTTCATTTCCATACTATTTTGTTTAACTCGATTTTTCACGTATATATCGAGAGAGATTCATTTCTACTTTAATTATGTGCCCTGCAAAGGAATTCACCAAGAATCACGCAAGGGTATATTAGAAATTTATAGTAAAATGTATGTTCATAACCCAACAGATTACATAGTCTAGGGTTTGACAACTTACACATTTAGCGACTTTGATATTGGATGTTTTCAAAATCAATCCTATAAAGTAAGCAATTCAAAATAATAATAATAATAATAATAATAATAATAATAATAATAATAATAATAATAATAATAATAATAATAAGGTTTTAAGGTGAATTGGCTGGTTCCCACGTTTATTGGCTTATTCTTAACTTGTTTTACACAGTTTTCATTTTTCAATTTCAAGTATAATCAAAGCGTTTTATGAACATGTTGATTTGATCTGTTTTTCAAAACATTAATATTTTCGAAATCTTATTCAAATCCAATATAGTACCTATGGATACATAAGAATGTATTGCATCAATTCAAAACTCACGTTAGGATATACCAAACAATTAATCACACTCACCAACAAGGAGGAATGGATTTTAAGATTTGAAAATCAGAAAGTGGAATTTGTAGGTATAAAATGGTAGGTGATCCACTCCATTCTACTCACCAATAATATTTTCTCGTTAAAGGGTTGAAATATAACAATTTAATATCATCCAATTATGACACCAGATGTCAAGGTCTAGTTCAAGTAATGAGAGCATAATCTTACAAGTCATTGGCCAACGTTTAAGCCTCCGAGAGGATAAGGGTGGATTTCAAAAATTATGTGACAACTACCTTTCAACTTGTTTGAAAATCGGAACATACCCTTAGTTTTGACTATTTATATTCACATCATGTTTAGAATGCAATATTATACAACGAATTTGCATAAAATGACAATCTACTTCTCAAACAAATCACGAAGATTTTATAGTCAAAAAGGTCTTACATTAGTTATGGGCCCTATGGCACAAGAGATAGGCCATGATGTCAAGAATTTGTAGCAGATCCTCTTCAGAGATGAGATTGTGCTTGGCTTACTAGGGTTTGTTCGATGGTGATTATGAAAATTGATTTTTTAAACGTTAGAGAGAAAAGTGGGTTTTACCTGCTAGTGAATAAGTAAAAAATAACTGCTGAAATAGTATAAAAATTTTTTTTTTTGACTTTTCGGATAAAAATTGCTACCAAACCGGAACGTAATATAAGATTTGAAAAACACAAATTTTTTGTTACATGTTGGTTGAGTAAAAAACTGGAAACTCTCATACAAGCTCAAGATCGAAATTTTGATCACCAAAACCTTATGGGTTCTTTATGTAGACTTGTTTGGTTGCAACCAAATTATGTGGAAATATATCATAAATTTCTTGTCAGTGACTAATCTATATAAACTCGAAAATGTATCATAAAAGGTGAAGTTATGAGGGAATTAACTAAGTTGGGTACAAGAGAAAAGCCAATGCTTAAGAAGACAACTTACAAGCTTTTGCACGAAAGTGCCTCCAAAACAGGCTACACACCTACGAAACAACTAACATCTAGCCGTATGAAGTTGGACATGTTAAGGAGCTTATCATTGGTAATCAAAGTCAAGGAATCCAAAACAAATTAAGAATAGTTGTGTTTTGAGGGGTTTAAAGAGAAGAGGATAACATATGGTTTGGGACCACAAATCAATAACTCACACGATAGATGATTTTTGATAGAAATAAGAACTCTCATGTTATGTAAACTGTGTATATTGTGAATTAATATATTCAAGCTACACGATATACATTGCGCGTCAATATAGAAGAACTCTTGCACAATGTCCAACCACTTTATCTCAAAAACTACGTTAATGTATGTTGCAACCAACACTTTTAAGAAGACAAAGCTTTTGCTGAAAAGTTTTCTAAAAGAAAAAAAATTATATTGAAGGCTCTTGTTATTCTCATTCATTCAACTAGAATTTATACAAGTGCTGTAGTACAATTGGAACAAATTAAAGAATTATTACAAAGGTTAAGAAACTAAATAATGAGGATTTACAGCCTGCTTCAATTCTCTTGAGAGTGATTTGATCATATGGAGATTGACTGATTGATCGATCAACTTTCTTTACTGGATGGCTTAGTATATCAAATTGTGAGCTTCATTGTCAATATTGTGGAGATAATCGTCTTCACCATTATAATCTTTCTTTTCCTCAATATTTGATACTTGCCTTTTATCATTTGCTAGCCGCAATTTATATAAAATCAATGCTTAAGAAGGTCAACTTACAAGATTGGGTACAGGAGCAACAAATTCATGATTTTACTGTGTTAAAATGCAAGCTCTGCTACACTCATAAGACCAC